CCCCCCCCGACCTTTCCCCGCGCGGTGGATCTCCAGGTGCTGATCGCGAACGAGCGCATGAGCACGAACCACGTGTACTGCTTCAAGAAGCGGCAGCCGAGCAAGTTTACGTGGACCTCGGAGATCAGGAGCTTCGTCGACAACAGTGGCAGGCCTCCGTCCTCCATGTTCCTGCAGATGTATGCCAAGGTGCGTCCGTGTTGTGGGCAGGCGTGTTTGTGAACAGAGGTGTTGTGAAGCGGCGGTGTGTTTCTTTGTGTTACCCTTGGGGCGTGTCGTGTGTTTTTGGGACGGTCGTGCTTGACCACGGATCTACCCCCCCGAAAGTGTGCGTGTTTTATTGGCATCGACCCCGCTAACTGGCTGACCAATGAAAAGACGTTTAATACAGTGTTCGTGGTATTTGCCCTGCACATACTTGTCGTCTGTGGTTCGACGACCCCCCCCGCACGCGCTCCGATCCTCCCCTCCCTCGCCGATTCCTGAAACCCTTCTTTTTTTTTCCATGTGCAATTTGAGCAGGGGACTCAGCACAGCAAGGTGAACGGGGGGCACATCCGTGCGCAGCTGCCGTACATCAGGACGGACGTGCCGGTGGTGTTGGTGTTCCGAGCGCTCGGTTACACGAACGACAAGGCTATCCTGGAGCACATCGTCTACGACTTCTCCGACACGGACATGATGGAAAAGTTCAGGTGACTCATTTTTTTGTCTTGTTTTTTTATCGTCCCGCGGGGCGCCAGTCTTCTTTTCTCTCGTTTTTGTTTTTGTTTTGTTTTGGTGGGTGTAATTGAGTCGCCTTGGATCATGCGAGGCAGACAAACCCATCAACAACCGTAAACATTGCGGTATTAATCGTGTCTTCGTACACCCGGAGGGAGAAAGAGGGAGAGCAGGTAGTGTCCCACGGGTTTGCGTGTGGTTGCACTTGATGTTTTGGTGTGTACCTCCTTTGTTTTTGTCATGATTTTGATTTCCGCGTACCTTTCCCCGACGCATGCGTGTTCCCAGGCCATATTTTGTGTTCGCTACTTTACATTTTTTTTGTCGTGATTTGAATCTCGCGTACTGTTTCCCGTCGTGTATGTGTCACCAGGCCATCTCTGGAGGAGGCGGACGTGATCCAGAACCAGGTTGTGGCACAAGACTTCATCGGGAAACGTGGCAGCGCCGTCAACGTAAGGCACCAGCCATGTTGTATGATACAAAAAACAAGTGATGTTGTTTGTGTTGTGTTGTTGTCATTGATATGATGATGATGGTGGTTTCACTTGCACAGACTCCCACCCATACCCTGCACAATACATGGTCGTGACTGACGCCACCATTTGGTGAGAAGAGAAATTATTTGATTGGTATAAGGAGAGATGATCCCGCGGCCACAAGAGAGAGCAGCACAGGACAGCAGCGGTAGCAGCAGCAGCAGTAACCATGGAGTATCACACTCTTTGCGCGCTACGTGGGCGGAAGCAACCGTCTGTTTTGTGTCGTAGACGAACGCATTTATTTGCCATCTCCCCCGGCTGCTCTACTGGAGCACCAGCCCCCCACCCTTGTCGGGGCAAAGTTCTCACTTCTCACCTTGACGGTTCGGAGGGGGGCGATAAACAAAGAAGAGAATGATGAACGTGCCGTCCGTTTGCACCCGGCGTAGTCGAAGGTGTAGTTGTGATGACACAGACAGGAGCAGTAGTGGTACATATCGAGAGCGACCAAACGACCTGCCTGCTGTTTGTGTGTTTGTCGTTGAAGCGCCGATCGTGTTTGTCTTGACCCACCGATGAAGCGTCAAGGAAAGCTTTATACCTTGGTGTTGTTCCTGTTGGTCTGTCGCTTCGTTCATTGTGTTTTGCCTGTTTCTTTTCAAGGTCGGGCGTAACGAGCGGATCAACTACGCCAAGGGGCTCCTCCAGAGGGAGTTTTTGCCTCACGTCGGCATCGGGGCCGGTACGGAGGCAAAGAAGGTGGGAAACAGACAAGACAGGCAGACACCAGACACTCCGACCCGCTCTAAAAAATCGGAGACAGACACATGGGCACCCCCCGCCCGCTCTAAGCAAGTGGTTTTTGACGCTTGGGTGTCGGCAAGGTGCTGCGCAGCACAACACCGCGCCATGTTTTCATGTGCTGTTGTTATTGTTACTGTTGGTGATGGTGGTGCTGCTGGCGCTGGCGCTGGTGGTGCTGCTGGTGCTGGCGCTGGTGGTGCTGCTGGTGCTGGCGCTGGTGGTGCTGGTGCTGCTGGTGCTGGCGCTGGTGGTGTTGTGGGACGAAAGTGCTTGTGGTATCGCTATTGGTGGCGCTGTTGTCGTTGTTACGCCTGTTATGCTCAGTGTTGTTGTTGCCGCCGCTGGTACCGTGCATCGCACAGACGTCCTGCTTGCACAAGAGTGTCGACTTCTGTAGCTGTAGCTGTAGCTGTAGCTGCACTACTTGGCAGCCTACCTTTCTCGACTCACAGCCACAAAGCGTTGTAGCCTGCAAGCGCTCACTCGGAAGCGCCTTTGGTGGCATTGCTGATTGCTCTTGCAGGTGTTCTTCCTGGGGTACATGGTGCACAAGCTACTCATGTGCAGCCTCGGTCGGTTAGAGGAGGACGACCGAGATCACTACGGTAAGCGCTGCATGAGAGACACGATTACACGGTTCACAGAGATATGCAATGAACAGTTACGAGAGAGAAGGTGTGCAGAGACAGGCAGGCAGACAGGTGAGCACAGAACCAGCTGCAGGGTGTGGGACAAAGGCTAACCGTCCAGACATAAGGGAGATCATCTCGTGGTGTGGTGTAGGGTGGCGTGGTGCGTGGACGCCTTGCCTTGCCGTGCGGCATCATGCACACGTTCACACCGAGGTTTGAGGGTAACCAACCAAAGCATGGCTTTATTTTGCACTACTGGACGGATAAGATTGGTTACTGCCGCTGCTGTGCTGGTGCTTTCCTGTCGACCCCGGGGCTGTCTTCTGAACATGCTCGGTTCCTGCCCCCCCCCCCCCCCCCCCCCNCCGCCCCCCCCCCCCCTCTCCCCGGACCGTTCTTGGTGGGGGTGGTTCGTTATTCTCGGTGGGTGTTCTCGCAGGCAAGAAGAGGCTGGACCTGGCGGGAGCGCTGCTCGCCGGCCTGTTCCGGCAGCTGTTCAGAAAGCTCACGCAGAACGTGCGCAAGTACCTGCAGCTCTGCCTGGACAAGGGCACGCAGTTCGTCGTGGGCACGGCGATCAAGAGCCAGGTGAGGCCTGCTGCATCATTCACTTGGCACAGTTTTGTGCCTGTTTCTTTGTCTCGTTCGTTCTAGTTCGTACGTGCGGTTTCTTTCTCCGACCATTTTCTCCTATTCTTGCCCAGTTTTCCTTGGTTGTTTCTTTTCCCCACATGTCACTCACTCCCTTGTGTGGCGTCGTTTTTAGGGAGACGAAAATATCCAACAAACTTCAAACTGAACAAATCACACTGCTTCAAACACCGACGGCTGATAACAGTTCATCACGGACGGTCTCAAGTACTCCCTGGCTACGGGCAACTGGGGTGACAAGAAGACAGCCACCAAGGCCGGGGTGAGCCAGGTGCTCAACCGACTCACCTACGCCTCGGCCCTGTCGCACCTCCGAAGGCTCAACACCCCCCTGGGGCGAGAGGGAAAGCAGGCGAGTTCCAAGATCTGTAGATGTAGCGAGTCACGCTTTGGCCATCGCCAAACCACGGTCGGTATCCATCCCCCTCCCCCAAGTCTCGTCATCCTTGTTGTCGTCGCTCCTCGCGAGCGGTTTAGCAGTCAGGCTGCCGCTGTTGACACGCTTTGTTTTTTGCTAGCGAGGTGCTCCTTCGTTTTTGTTGGTGTGTGGCCATGGACCGCCTGGGGCATGTGCTCATTCGTGTGGGCACCGAAGTAGTTGACTCACTGGGGTGCCTGGTTAACTAGGCGCGAGCCACCTCAAACACGACCCGATCGATTCTTTGTTATTTTTCGTGATGAATCATGAAACGACACCCGGCAGAAGTATTCTTGCAGCGGCTTCCCATCACATACAGACGATGAACCGCCGTATGTTTGGGCGTCCCGCGCCTCCTTTTGATGACGTTGTTCTGGGTGTTTTGTTTTGTGTTGTTCGTTTTTGCGCGTGCTCTCTCCCTCTCTCTCATCTCACTCTCGTTCTCTCCCTCCCTCCCTCCCTCCCTGTTCTATCCCTCTTCTATCTCTCTTCTGTCACTCTGCTCTTTTTGCCTCTGTCCGTCTCTCTCTCCCTCTCGCTCTCCTCTCCCTCCCTTCCGCCCCCCCCCGCTCTCTCTCGCGGCGCAGGCTAAGCCCCGACAACTACATAACACCCACTGGGGCTTCATCTGTCCGGCTGAGACCCCGGAGGGTCAGGCCGTGGGTCTGGTGAAGAACCTGGCGCTCATGGCGTACATCAGCGTTGGCTGCTCGCTGTCGCCTATCCTGGTTAGTACCGGGGAGCATGACACCGAGCTGTTTTTTTTTTATCTGTCCGCTTCGCGTGTCGTGTTTTTTTCTTTTTGTGTGTCTGGTGATCCCTCTCGCTTTTTTGTTCTGTTCCTGTGTAATTTGTTTTTTTCTCTGCATGGTTTTTTGTTTTTGTCGCTGGCTGCGAATGCCGGGGGGGGGCATAAAGGGGTTTTAACGAACGTGGCGAGAACATGGGATTGACAAGGGTGGAGAGGGAGAGACACACGCGCACACGCGACGGCGTTTATGGGGTACCGGTCGTGACGGCAGCAAGACGAAACAAAAGAACGTGCGATAGTTGTACTCATTGCTTCTCGTGGAAACCGCGCCACTATCGCCGGTTGCTCTGTGTCGGCACTGCGTCGTTCTACGTATTCACACGGTACTTGGATACGTGCATAGTCATGGTGCAGTCACGTGCTTGACTGGAATCTGTGGATAACTGGAAAGGCATCTGTCCTACATGTTACTGGTAGTTTTTAAATGTCCTTATCTTAGTTGTCCGCGATGTGTATGTTGCTTGGTTGTTTCGCCCCTCCATCTAGCGGACATCGACTCACGTATGCACCCGGCACACGCACAACCTATGATGCGCGCTCACAATTTTGTTATCTTGAACAAGTACCCACCAACCAAGAAGGCCTCCCACCCCGAGCTTAACAAGAGTGTAACGTTGTTGGAAGCGTGTCAATCTTCACACCCAGGGTCCCTAACGACGCAGTTCGTTCCCCCTCCAACTATAATTGGCTCACGCGCATTGCTTCTTCCTTTGTCACCGCCACGTTGTGGTCCCTCCTCCGCTTGAACGAGAACAGGAGTTCCTGGAGGAGTGGGCCATGGAGAACCTCGACGAGATCGCGCCGCACATGATCGCGCAGACCAACTGCACCAAGGTGTTCGTGAACGGGAACTGGGTGGGCGTGCACCGCGACCCCAACCGGCTGGTGCAGACGCTGGTGCACCAGAGACGGGCGCTAGACATCGACGTCGAGGTGTCGGTCGTGCGGGACATCAAGGGCAGGGAGCTACGACTCTACACGGACGCGGCGAGTCTTCAACCGTATGCGCATGCACATGCAGTATTCCTTGCTTTACCTTTTGCAAATATACGTGCAGGTACAGAAAGACTGCCCGTTCGAGCTACGTCCACAGCAGTCGAAGGGGATATGCTGAAGTCTTTTTTCACTGTGTTTTTTATGTAATTTTTCTGTAACAAAGTATGTACGAAGTAGTTGGTAGTGAAGTTGCCCTGGGCCGGTCGTTTGTGTTCGGCGGGGTTTTTGATTGGGACGCGCGCTGGTTGTCTTCCCTCTACCCTGCTGAACTCTGAACGCCTCCTTTCATTTCGTGTTCCTTGTTTGTCGTCGTCCTACAGGGGCGAGTGTGCCGGCCGCTGTTTGTGGTGGAGAACAACCGCCTTCGCATCCGTAAGAAGCACATCAACGACCTGCACGACCCCAACTACGGCTGGACGAACCTCATGCAGCAGGTGCGTGCTTGCTGTACCTTGTCTTCCATATATGTGTGTCCTGTCTTCAACGTATGTGCGTTCTTTGTCTTCCATGTAGTTTATATGTGTGCGTGAAGGCGCATGAGATTCTTGGATGGTTTGCGGTCTGCCTTGTGCGTGTTTCTTGTGGGATGCTTTTTTTCCTGGTCTTTCAGATTGTTTGAACGCCTGGTTTTGTGCCTACGCGCGACTACTAAGCGCAACACTGAGCATGAGAATATATGCAACGAAGCAATCAATGGCGACCGGTTGATGAATCCAAATTTGACCCAAGTCTTCAGAGAAGGAGGTGGGCACATGGGCCCAGGGAGAAGAAAATGCATCGAACGCAGAATTGGTTATAATAGCCGAAGTTCACATTCCATACTGAAGGTCGGGTGTTTTTTTTTTTTTTTTT